CCCCCCCCCCCCCCCCCCCCCCAGGTCACGTGGCCAAAACTCAAAAACACTGGGCAACCGACTTGTGTTTATGACGGTCACAGCGTCCCAAGGTGCTGCAATCCCCTTTTCCGACCTTCTGACAAGCAAAACTAACAGGGAACCCAGATTCCGCTTAACAGCCAGGTCACTCATTAAATAACGGCAGTGATTCACTTAACAGACGAGGCAAGGAAGGTCGCAAAACGGGACAGAACTCGCTTAAAAGATCTCACTTAGCGGCATACATCTTGGGCTCCATTGTGGCCGTAAGTCGAGGATGTAAAGCAGGGGTCTCCAACTTCACGAGCTTTGCTGGCTGAGGAACTGCAGGAGTTGAGGTCCACCCGTCTTAAAGTGGCCACGGCTGGAGACCCCCGATATAAAGGCCAGGAAAAAGGGCCTAGGAGAGAGCGCAGAATGGGGGCAGCCTTGGGGACCTGGTTTAAGAAACTGGCCAGGTGTGTGTCCATTGTGCGCAGCCGCCGTGTCTTTCCCTCCGTTGGGCAGCTGTGCTTTTGTGTCGCGCAGGGCGAGTTCGTGAACGAGTACGTGGGCGAGGTGATCGATGAAGGAGAATGCATGGCGAGAATCAAATACGCTCATGAAAACGACATCACACACTTTTACATGCTCACCATCGATAAGGTATGCGCTATTCCAACGTGGCCCGGCTTGGCCTTTGACCTCAAGTCTCCATCCTGGTCTCTATAAACTCTGGGATCCAGAAGCTTTTTCTTCCGCAATCGCAAAGACTCGCATTCTCTCGGGGGGCGGGACCTACCTCAGAAACACCATCAGTCAGCCTACTGATCAACCCCACCTTGGCTTAAGGAGGAGTTTAAATATCTGGGTAGAAATTCAGGGAAGAGGTGGCGCTAATATTTCTTGACACCCGGTTTTGGGTTGGGATTAACGCTGCCACCCTCTATCCAGGCACCTTAGTGAGAATCCCATTATGCGTGATGGCATCATTCCCTTTTATGTCGGACGTGTATTGGATTGTGCTCCGGATTGAATATTCAGTATTCTTTTGTAGAGGAGAAGGTTGTGTTATAGGATAGCTCTATACCTTTCACCTACGAATGCTTTTGTCCAAAAAAGCTGAAGCTCCAACTTCTTCACCTACTTTGGAAGTAGGATCAAAATGCTTTCTGAATGGACTAATAACTGGGGAGAACCTCAACAATCACACCAAGAGTTTTGCTTGTTTTCTTCACCCTTTTGTATTCCAAGGACTGGAAATACCTAATGGCAGTATCTCTGTCCTCCTTGCTTTTCAAGAAAAGGGCTATCAAGGTTTGTTTTTTTTATAAAATAGAATTCTTTTATTGTCCAAGTGCGACTGGACACACAAGGAATTTGTCTTGGTGTAAAGGCTCTCAGTGTACATAAAAGATAAAACAGGAAGAAACTATTTCTTTGCATTTCCCATTGAAGATGCAAAAAAAATGTCTCTGTGTGATTCTTTCCCCAAGCCAAACCGAAGAATAATTATATTTCTGACACATTTTTCTGTGTTTTCCAAGTATCTTAATTTAGCTAGGTGGTGTGACATTGCTGTGAGGCAACATTAGTCAAATGAGGACTCTTTGGGCTCTAAAATTCTAGGTTTCTCTTGAAGGAGGCGGCTTTCTTGAAGCGGGATAAAATTTACACGGATTACAGGTTTAAGTTTTGTCAAGGAGGAACAACTGTAGCTACTGGCTGCGGGACTCAGTCTCCGTGTGCGTGGAGAGGGTGCTGCCTACCGTTAATCGGGGTTTTGCTTGGATCCTTTGGTTTTCCAGGACCGCATCATCGATGCCGGACCAAAGGGGAACTATTCTCGCTTCATGAATCACAGCTGCCAGCCCAACTGTGAGACCCTGAAATGGACGGTGCATGGAGACACCCGCGTGGGCCTGTTTGCCGTCTGCGACATCCCTGCAGGTACCGGCGGCTCTCCTAACCGGGAACGGGATGTTTTATGTCCCCTTAAAAAGAAACCAAACCTGTTCAGGAAGTTTCTTCTGTTGGATGCAGCTGCAACCTCCTCGGAGCTTCTTGCCTGCGCTTAGCTCGCCCTCCGAACATAGCAGAACATCCACAAACAAGATTTTTTAATAAAATTATTTTGTTGCACAAAAGCTGTGCATCTGTGGGGCTTTTTCCAAGCTGATCTTGTCAGTTGGCCAAAACCCAACCACTTCTTCGCTCTGCGATCCGATCTTCCAGGGATGCCTGGAGGCCTTAAAAGTCGGGCAGCCCCCAAATGTCCCCGTCCCCCCCGGGTTGGACCCTGTTGGACGACCCCTCCCTGGCCTTCGCTCCCACCAGCTGCTCCTTTGCACTCTTCCCCCTGTGGGAAGGCCAACTTGACCAAGGTTAAACTCCTTACACGCGGCCCTCAACCTGTGACCATATTTGAGCACCCATCTGTTTATTCATTAGTTACTTTAATTAAAATGAATTAGACTGGGCCCCGTCTGTTTGGCAAGGCCTGGTCTCTTGGTCTCTTCAGTGTCCCTGGCCTTCAGGACCCCAGGGGCTCCGACGAGAGGCACCTCAGGTGTTACCTTTCAGTTGCAGGGTTGGTTTTAGAGAGAGAGAGAGAGAGAGAGAGAATCTTGTCAGACAGAGTTCTGCTTCAAGTCCTTGAAATTTAAGCTTCCAAACCTCCTGTGGGAGGCCGTGGAAACGTTGGGAAAACTCCGCCTCTACCATCTTGTTCCAGTCCAACTCTGGTCTGTGGAGGTTCTCAGGCATCCAGGTCTTGGTTGTCCCAAAGGGGCTTTTTCCGACCCCTTTTTGCCTTTTGAAGGAGCCCCTTTGAGTCATCCAACCACTGCAAATCCAGGTGGGCCTGGATGGTCTTTATGATGGGCTCAGTTGGGTGTGGAAAGCGATTCCTCCCTGTTCGGACAATGAGGCGGTGAATTGAGTGACACCCCTCCCCACAATTCTCTTCTATCTCTTGGTCAAAGAGGTTTGTGTGTCCATCGCAAAGGAGATTTCAAGTCTGAATTCTGTATTTCTCAGCTTTCAAAAGCCAGGCTTTAGGCATTTCCGCTGGAGGGGACAAAATCCTGTGCCTTGCTGTTCACGCCGCCCACAGGTTTATTGGCACAGTTTCGGGGGTCCTATTTTAACCGGCCTCTCTTTGGATCGAGTGGGGAGTGTGTGTGTGTGTGTGTTGTTTTCCCCTCCCTCCTTTCTTCGACATCTTCCTCCATACTCCATCCCGGGGCGAAATGGGAACCTCTTTTGGGAAAGGAGCCAATGTTCCTGTTTTAATGATGGTTACAGTAACAGTTTCTTCTTATTTCCCCCCCTAAGGGACAGAATTAACCTTCAATTACAACCTTGACTGCCTCGGCAACGAAAAGACGGTGTGCAAATGTGGGGCTCCAAACTGCAGCGGCTTCCTTGGAGACAGGCCAAAGGTATCTCTCTGCTGGCCCACGGCGGAGCCCTTTAGGGGGCCACCTAAGGCGAGGGTCGCTGGGCCAAGGCACCCCCACACGGACTGACTGGGCAGAACGTGCCCAAAATCTGGGACCCTTCACTGCCAATGAAACTGGGCCAAATTTTTAAAAACATTGGAAGATGTTAAAAAAAAAGAATCACCATAAAACAATTTATGACGTAATGCAGGGTGCCATAAAACACTTCCTTTCCTCAACTCCTGATGTTTGACACTGCAGTAGAGGTGGTCTCTGACTTACAGCCACAGTTGAGACCAAGGGTTCTGTTGCTAAGCAAAACAGTCGTTAAGTGAGTTTTGCGACTTCCCAGGCCACCGTTAAGGGGGAATTCCTGCGGTTGTTCAGTGAATCCGGCTTCCCCCATCGTCTTTGCTGGTCAGATGGTTGCAAAAGGGGATCGGGTGATCCCCAGGACACACTGCGACCGTCATAAATACTAGCCAATTGCCAAACATCTGAATTTTGATCACGTGGCCCTTGGGGATGCCGCAACGGTCGTAAGAGTGAAAACCGGTCCTAAGTCTCTTTTGTCACTGTGGCTGTCATTTGGGAATGGCTGTGAGTCGAGGGCCTCTTGCGCTGCTTCGCATGGGGGATGTTCAGGCCAGCTGCCTCTCCAGATCCATCCCAAGTTCCCCGTGAAGGCAGGACGTCAGAAGCGCCGCCATTGTGGAAGAGGGTGAGGGAATCAGGGGAGGAAATGTCTCAGAAAGGATGAGTTTTTTCTAAGGCAGCCTTTGGGTCCAAAATAGGCCTTAGTGGCTTTTTCTAAAAAAAAAAAAATACCAAGAATTGTGTCAAAGGAGACTCTCCGCCCTCCAGGTCTCGGTTGTCCCAAAGGGGCTTTTTTCCCCAAGAGGCAACTGGACTTTCTTGGTTTTTCTTTGAAGACGTTTCACTCCTCATCCAAGAAGCTTCTTCAGCTCTGACTGGATGGTTGGGAAAGGACGGATCGATACTCCTTGCAGACAAAGCTGGTCACTTGGATCTTTTTGGAGAGAGGACACGGATAAACCTCCAAATGGCCCCAACAACCCTCAGAAAGAATGCAATCAATCGGCTCTTCTGAAAGGAAGACAAATCCTTCCCCACCATCTGGCCAGAGCTGAAGAAGCTTCTGGGATGAGACGTGTCTTCCAAGAAAAACCAAGGAAGCCCAGTTGCCTTCGGAAAAAGCACCTTTGGGACTACCAAGAATTGTGTTTAGGGAGTATTCGGTAATTTAAGTCATCTTCCCGCTGCCCCAGGCAGGTAAGAGTGGGTGATGGTGCCCTTTGGCTGTCCAAAGCTTCTCTTTGGTTCTGCCTTGCGTGGCGGTGGTCAGTCACCAGACTAGAAGCATTTTGCCAGAGCGTTCCAGACAAGTTTTATAATTTGAAATGGCTAAAAACAGAGGGGGGGGGGAGGCTCCTTAGAGACTGCCCTAATCCCCTAATCTGCAAAACAGAAACATGACTATTTTTTTCCATTAAGAATTCATCCTCCAATGCCTCAGAAGAGAAAGGAAAGAAAGGCAAAAGAAGAGCAAAAAGGCGTAAAACAAAAAGCGAAGCCAGGAAAAAAACGGAGGATTACTGCTTCCGCTGCGGAGATGGAGGGCAGCTTGTCCTGTGTGACCGGAAGTCCTGCACCAAGGCCTATCACCTCTCCTGCCTTGACTTGGTAAAACGTCCCTTCGGTGAGTAAGCATTCAGATACGCCTCCACTCCCTAACAAGGATTTTGGACCCCCGAGGATCTTAATCAAACCAATTCCAAGTTTTAAAGGACTTTCCCTTCAGGCGGTCAGGTTAAGCGTTGACTCTGGTGCTTAAAATGCGGCCAGCCATCTCCAGCAGAATTGGTCCACGGCAGAGCAGTGAGAAGCGGGTGGGGTTTTGTTGCGTGACTTGACACGGGAGAACCGTTCAACCTCTTCTGCACGTGTGTTCTCACCCAGCCAGATCAGACCTCAAACCGTGAAGCTCAACCAAGCCGTGTTCACCTGTCTTGGGTCTTTGCTGTTCCAGGGAGAGGGGTGTGGTTTTCCTCGGAAATGATCAGCAGCCGCACTCCTGGGGAGGCTCCAAAGCTAAACTGTACATTGTTAAGCTAATCGTAGTTTATTCAGCGGGAAAGAAATGCCATTAAAGAGGGCCACTCCGGATGCGTAGAGCTTTAAATGCTTTTTTAGATAAAATGCTTGTTTTTCGTCGTCTTTAATCGGTTCTCGTCCACTACTTCAGGGGGATAAAGAATGGGGCACACCGTTCCATTTGGTGGCTGCCATTCCAGTTCCTTCAGGTTAAAGGGAAGGATTCGAGGGGACGTGGAGCCGAGGTCCCGGCACATGTTCCCGCGTTGACCTTTTGTTCTCTCTTTTTTTTCTCTCCTTCCTTTCCACGGCAGGCAAATGGGAATGTCCCTGGCACCACTGCGATGTGTGTGGCAAGCCCTCAGTTTCCTTCTGCCATTTCTGTCCCAATTCCTTCTGCAAGGACCACCAAGAGGAGGCCGTGCTGGAGCGCAACTGGAGCGGACAGTTGTTTTGCCCTGACCACAATGGGGAGAACTTCGCCGAGAAGAAAGCCAGGCGGCCTCCTAGAAAACTCTCTTCCGCCAAATGCAAGCGGCAAAGGAACAAGTGGAAGAGGACATAATATTAAGAGGAACAAACTCGCCCCGCCAACCCCGTTTGCCCAAGGTTGCCTTGTAAATAAGTTGTGAATAGGGTCAGGGAAGGACACACTTTTACACGTCTTGCGCAAGAACTGGGGTTTTTTGGGGGGAGAGCGAGCGATTTTTAAACCCACTGAGCCAACCGGCGGCAGGGCGCCTGCTGCAGCTGCACTGATCATGAACTCTGGCCTGCCAAGTTCAGACGTTTCAGGACAAACCAGGTTTTCTCTCCAGAAATAATGAGAATACTTGAACTGTTAGGAATGGAACAGTTCTTCCCTGCTGCTTCCTCAAGGGAGGCGTGTTGATTTTCGACCAACGACCCCATGTCTGTGGACAGTCTCGTAGCTTTTGAAATAGTAGCCGCCGCCACTTGGAGGAGTTTTTGGTAGAGGGCCAGAGAGCGAGAGGAGGGAGGGAGGCCTCGATTAGCTCTGGAAGCCCAACGTGGCGAGGAGATCCGTTTGACAGGATCGCATTAAATAAGAAGGGGGGAGGGGAGGGGGGAAAGCGTCATACCATGGCTTTTGATTTTGTTTTGTTGTTTTAATTGTACTGGCATTCTTCTATCAAGACAAGGAAGCAGCAGATCTCTTGAACCCGTGGCCAGCCTTGGTCATCTGTGCCTCAGGTCAACTGTTTTAGTTCCAATAAGCAAAAAGAAAAAAGAAAAATTGCATTACCGGTGTCCTCTTTTAAATGGATATTAAAATATGTGCCCCATTTTTTAGATTGTATTTGCATAATAAAAGTATTTCAAAATCAAACCCATTTGAGGTTTCTTTTGAGAAGTAGACAGGAATCTGCATCAAAACGATTGCTGGAAGCCAAATGGACTCCGGGGTGGCCTTCTCTTCATCCGCCTTTCCTGGCTGGGTTTTTTCTTTTCCAACTTCTGGCTAAAAACGGGATTTGAAGCCCAGGAGAAACCGGCCTTTTGAGTGACCAGGAAGGCAGGCGAAATAAGAGCCGTCCCCGGCATCCTAAGCCACTTCTCCTTTATGGGAACGTTGTAGGTCTCTTTCTCCATGGGATGCAGGCCGTTCTCTTCACCTGGTTCGCCTTCTTTTGCCTGCTGCTCCTCCCTTCGCACCCCGTTGAACCCTGTCCTGTTCCGTTTGCTGTGCTGATGGGCAGGCATCCCAACTCCTGTATATAAGAGCTCTTCCTTCAGGAGAAAGGAGGGTGGCCCTGCACCCTTGAGGAGTGCTGCAGAGGAGACGTCAGGCAGGAGTAATGCCTCCTAGAGTTCTACGCGTGTCGTGGAGCGGATTCCGGTAAAATCCTTCGGCAAGGTTTCCCGATAGAAGTTGTAGGAGAGCCACGTTACGGTAGGTAAAATGCAGGTGGCCTTTTGAGATTACAAGTTTTGTTTGAAAACCTGAGCTTTTGTGAACTGCATCTCGCACCCTAAAATACCTAGAGGGGTCGAATAGACGCGAGGCTTTCAATGGAATCGGGGGGGACAGAAGAGGCCTTACCGCAATGCTATATTTAAATGTTATTATGCCCGTTGAATTGCCAGCGGTCTCTTGGCAGCAAGCCTTGCCGTTCCCATTCAGCTGGTGGGGTGGAATTGGGCCTAAAGACAATGACCATTTAGTCAGCACATCCCACTTGGGCTGGCACTGGGGAGCCAAGGATGCCAAATAACACCACCACTCGGGCAAGAAGAAAAAAAACGTACTTAGAAAAATCTGAACTTTATTACAGATATTATGCCGAAAATACGTACTCAAGGACATGAGGTTTTGCATTTACATCTGTACAAAAAACAAAATAGATAGAAAACATCTGGCCTGCTCTACTAGATAGGCAACATTTTACAAAACAACATTGCTTGTTTAAAAAAGTACCAGAATTCCAAGGTCTCGGGGCTCAATTCCTAGCCTTGCCTTTTCTCGCCTGTCCCGTCGGTGGCCTGGGGGTTGGGGGGCACGGTGAGGAAATCCCCACTTCTGGGGGGCCCTTTCGCTAACTGGTAGGGCGGGTGGGAGGGAAGGGTGCATGTTTGTTTCAACAATAACTTCCGTTTGCCTGAAGCTGTGGCTGTTGGATATTAGAAGTAATCTTACAGCTGGAATTAGACTCAAAAACCTTTTTTCCCCTCCCCCCGGGGAAAAAGATCAGAACGGCGGATAGGACTGGCCGTTCGTCTTTTCCCTCTCGGAATCAGGACGGAGCTCCTTCTAGGCCAAGCATGGCGACACGGAGTAGCCCCGTTCCTTTAGCCTGGGCACCTGCCACGTCCCCTTCCGGCCTGCCTTGCCAGCGCTTCCTTCTAGCCCTTATCCTACAAAGGCCAGGCGCAGGACGAGGGGTCCAAGAAAGTGCGCGTCGCGGAAGTTCTTCCGGGACAGATGCCTCCCTTGGTCTCGATCTACGTACAGTGGGGGCACTTGCCAGCCCAAATGGGATTTTTAAAAACCAGAGGAGGGTTTCCCCAGAGCTTAGGCAAAGACCAAGGGCTGAACCGGAATCTCTTGGAGGACATCCCCCCTGATGGTTTCTGTGTCTCACGGCACCCTTCCTTGCACCGACTCTGAACGAAGACTTCAAACTCAAGTCAGAGCTGCTGGCTGGGCAACCAGGGCAAGCCTCTCCTCCCCCCCGGGGACCATGCAAAACCGCCCTCAAGATATGCCAGCTTCACTCAAGCCGTCTGGACTGTCTTACTGCCTTGAATTCCTCCGAGTGAATTCCACCCCAGGAGCGCATGGACACACCACAGCTTGTAACAGCGGGGAAGGAGGGAGGGAGGACGGCCGCCACTCTGTAGTCCAAGCCCTGCCCCGTTCTGGCCTGTTCAGGTCACACACCGCTGTGGCCCCCAGCTGGGCTTTTCTTGGCCTCCGTCCCCACCCACTCCCGGTAAATATCCTCTAGAAGGGAGGGGAGGGGACCCTGACTTGAAAGCAGACCCACAAACACCTGCTAGGTGGTATTGCTCCATGTCTCCACAAGGACTCCACAGAAAACTGCAGTCTAACTTCCAACCAGGTTTCTGGACAAAAGATGAATTGTAATCTACTCCAGAAACAGCTAATAATGCCTCTGCATTTGAACACGCTAGGACACGTCACGCTACATGCCAGCCGAAAGGGGGCGGCGGCTTCCAACGCTAAAAGAAGGTAGCCAGGTGGCCTCTTAAAACAACCCAAACAAGCCAGGTTGATGCTGCATGCAACCGACATAATTTGGTAAAAACTAGCCCTGATTGTTCGAAATCCTGCTTCTAGGTTCAGCTCTGGCTGAAATGTTAAATCAAACGAAGCTGCACAAGAATCTCTTCTGAAACCTTTGTGAGGCTTTTCGGATTCTGGTCGGCCTCCTGGGTACAATTTAGAAACAAACACACCTTTCAGGTACGTTAAGACAAAACCTCACAGGCTCCCATCTCCCCTCTTTCTAGCTTAAGATTCTCCAAAGGGGGCTCCTCGGGATTTTGTTTCCAGCTGCAGTTTGGCCAAGCCTTAATCCGTCCCCTCCCAGCCCAAACCGTTTCCCTTGACCTTCAAAACTTAAAAAGAAAATATCCTACCATCTCCCTACAATTCCAATGAACAGAAAGAAATTCTTTATTTGTAACTCTTCCTCCGCATACATGACTAAAACTACTGAGCTGTCAATTCTCAGACTTCAAAGGCTTACCAGGGAATTAAGGAGCCCAGAAACTAAGAAAACCGTTCCAAGCTCGGGGGGGGGGGGGGGAGAGACCTTTGCAATGGTGATGCCCCTGCAATCCACGTCACACCCAGAGATGCCCCTGCAGCCCTAAGGTGACCCACTTAATGCCTTGGAAAAGAGGAATGCAGAAAATGAGCCCTGCGAGACGAACCATCTCAGGTTCACCCTTCAGCGACGGTGCCGCAAAGCAGGGACGGAGGCCTAATTATTGTTGTTATTGTTTTGACTGGCTTCAGCGGGAAGCAGGTTCCGCCAAAAGCTTCACCGGGTGATGACATCCGCCCCATCAGCCTTTCGCACACGCAGCCTGGTCCCCCGTCACACAAGGCGATCCTTGGAATTGGCTACGTCAGCCTGAAGCCCCCCCATCTCAAACTCTCGGAATGTAACCGTTCCGAGAGACGTCGGGAGCCGAAGTTGCTCATCCGCCTTCAACATGAGGGGAGCTCCCTCACACGGGCCGCCCCTGAGCGGGTAAGCTTTGGGGCCGCCCCTTTCCACCGTGTCCGGGTTCAAAGGAAGCCCCTTTCCGTGACTGGTGCACGGACACACACGCGGGGACCGGCTGTTCTCACGGAAATGAAGGTTTATTATTGGTGCAATCCTGAGAAGCCGAAAGGAAGAGGGAGGGGCATCCTGGGGGCTTCTCACCTCAGAAAAACCACCCCAAGGAGGGACGCCCAGCAGGACCGGCGCTACTTGCAGTCAGCTACAAAAGGGGGAAAGAGGAAACGGCCAAAATAAATAGCAGGGCCTCTATTGAACAAGGGAACTGAGAAAGTCAACCCTGGTCCCTGCTGGCGAAGGGCTTCCTCCCCTTCTCTCCTCCCTCAGAAGAGGCAGGCGGATGAAAAGCCGCCTTCCACCATCACCCCTGCGATGGAGAGCTGCCGTTTCCTCCCGCCTTCCTCCTCCTTTGGCCAACTGTGGGGCTGGGACAAGGGCCGGTCACCAGGCGGCCTCCAGGGGAATGTCGTTCTGCTTTAGTGGACACACAACGTTGGAAGCTGGCTTTACTCTAGGCGCTATTTGGTCTGCATCGCCCCGTCACGGGATTGCTTAAGAAACGTTTGTCATGGGCTTGCGCTTCGTCAGCCGGCTCCACTCGCCGGTGGCGTAGTTCATCTCGAAGATGGTGTCCACCAGCATGGTGGTGCTTCCGCTCCCGTCGGGATTCGGCATGACCTCCGTGTGCTCGCTCAGTTTGATCTGGATCACGTCGCCCTGCTCCGGGCACGGGTTTTCTGGGAGGGGGGGAGGAATCAGAGGTTTCACAATCAGGTCCCTTCGAGGAATTGAGCGACGCCAGGAGTGCCGCTTGGGACAAAAACTGGGAAGGAAACCAGATCCTTCCCTGACAGGCGCACCAGCTTTCCTCCGAGTTCGTTTTCCTCCCTGTGAGGACAAATCTCTCCCCCATCTTTCTCTAAAGCAAGTTTGCATGTCGGTGATTACGGGACCTCCGTAGACACCACACGCCAAACAGAAAGAAAGCCCTCGTCACTGCTAAGGGCCGATTCTTTGCCTAGAAAAATTCTGGTGACTAAACCGGCTTCTCCGTGACTTTTGTTCAGTAAAACTCCAGGAGGCTGAGACTGCTAGCATTTCAACAGGAGGAGGCCCCGTCTTAAAATGGACCCAAAGACTCTAAAATAAATTGGATTTATAAAACTACATTTTTTCCTATCTAGATCTACATCTAAATGTCTTACAAAAGGACCATTAAATATTGTTTTAGATAAAAGTTATGGATTATCCTTATTCCCAATCCACCAAATTACTTAGCAATTGGGCAACGTTTGGGCTTCAGAGTTTAGTGACCTGTTTAGCGACGGATGGTCATTGGCGCCACAAAACGTGGGGTTTCCACAGCAGAAAGGAGCGAGCCCAAAAGGGCCTCTGGGCTGTGCCACACAATGGTCACGAAACTCAAGGGCCCCCTTGTGCTCTCAACAACATCGAGCCATTAAGCCTGCCTGCCCCTGAGATCCACAAGCACCCCAACCAACCCAACAAGGAAAGCCCGGGGCTTAATGTAAGCCTGGTTGCTTGTGCAAGAGCCCGCCCAAAAGCAGGATCGACCATGGATCACCCCTCCCTGCCCCCCCCCCCCCCCTCAGGGCAAATCATGCTCAGACTGACCCACCGGAACCCGGAAGCAAGGCAAACCCGTCAGAGACCAGCACTCGCTCCAAAAACGACCCCCCCACTCCCGCAGCTGCCTCCCATCCATGCGAGGAAGCCTCCTCCGGGGTCAGCTGAGCAGTCCTTCGGAGAGGAAAGCCGCCCAGGTACCCACCTCTGGATCCCGCCATGAACCCGAGGATGAGCGCCTTCTCGGGCCTTGTAACTTTGTTTGCCACCTGGAAGATTTCATGGGCTGCAAACAGCTGCTCCTTCTGCAATGAGTTCCAAGGACAGATTCCGTTGAAAACAACAGTAGAAAAACCATTTCCCCAGGGCTGAAACTCCTGCCACCTTCACCGTACTTCTCTCTCTCTCTCTCTCTCTCTCTCTCACACACACACACCCTGCCCGCTGCAGCCCCCTGCCTCTTTTCCTGTAAGTGGAAACGTCTCAATTCTTTTCATCTCATGCAGGCGCATCTGAGGGTCCCACAGCCCCACCAGATAATAAAAGCTACCAAAATCTAAAGGAGCTTTCTTCTTTATATGCATTAGCTCCATATTAGATATTTTATATGTGGCCCAAGACACTTCCTCTTCTCTCACCATGGCCCAGGCGAGCCAAAAGGTTGGGCCCCCTTTTGGGTCCTTTCTGAGGGAAAGTAACGGCCCACAGCGGCTGCTCCTCCTCCCCAACTGGAGGGGGAGGCCACACGCCCTCCACCCCCCGGCTCTTTCACAGGGGTGGCTTAAGAGCAGAGCAAACGCAAAAGTATTCACGGATTGGTTTCCTTGCTTCCTTAAATGTATTGGCCACCCACCTCCCTATCCAGAGCAACTCTGATGCCGCCCTCCTACACGAGGAAACCGGAATGATTCAGCCCTGCTGGGCCACAAATTCTGCCACTCTGGCTAAAGGGATCCTCCGCCTGTGCAGGAGGCTCAGACCGAAACCGTGGGGGGGGGGGGAAAAACCCCACCCCAAGTAGCTGGAAGGCCCTGTGCACCCCAGCCTGGCCCGATTCCTTCCCCCACTGGGAAAACCCACAAGCAGGGCGCCCCCTCCCGCTTCTGCCTTCACACACCCCCTCCTCCCCCACCGGGACTGGAGGGGGGGGCTGAGCCCGAGAGGCTTACGGTGAGAGAGAGGCCCTTCTTGGCAGGGGGGCCATCCTGAGGAGCGGTGGGTGGTCCCTGTGTTGCCGGGGAGGTCACCGGAGGAGACACCGGGGACTCGGCGGGTGGGGCTGCTGCTGCCGTTGCTGCTGCTGGCGTTGCTGCTGCCGCTGCCGCCACCGCGGGAGTCGCACTCAGGTTCAAGTGGCTATTGTACATGGGCGTCCGTTGCTTGAACTGAGCCGCCGGGAGAGCAGTGGGCGGGGCGGCCGAAGCGGCTTCGTCCTTAGCTTGCAGGGGGTCCCAGATGGAGCCAGCTGGATGTCAGGACAAACAGGCTGTGAGAGCAGAAGGGCGCATTAAGGGATACCTGTCTGATGCCCTCCCTCCTCCTCCTCCTCTTCCTCCTCCTCTTCCTCCTCCTGCACTTCGTTACGTTCGCTTCTCAGGCGGCACAAAAAAAGTCCACGGCCGCCACACATTCCTTTCAAAAGCGTCAGGCGTGGGTCGGTTTTCCTTAATCTGAATCCCTGTGGTGACCCTGCCCAGGGCTTTTTTTCAGCACAGAAGCCTAAGCTGCAAAGAGCTGCGCGGAACTAAGAACAAATCTACAGGAAAGTCACTGACACGTATTCAGACTTCTAGGCCAAGGGGGCAAAAGAGGGGAAAAACCCCCAACCCCCAAAGGGCCAACGACAGTAAGACGCACGAGGAACGAAGCCGAGGAAGGTCACGTCACCGTGGTGGCATATTCCCAGAGAAAGAAGGCAATATAGAAACAGCCCTCGCCCTTCAGGCCGCTTCCCATGGCTTCACAGCCCTCTCCGAGAGGGTTTTTAGAGTCAGCCTCTTGCAAACCCCAACCGTCTGCGCCCTCATTTTACCCACCTCGGAAGGAGGGAAGGCTGAGTCAACCTGGAGCCTGGTGGGATTCGATCTGCCAAATTGCCGGCAGCCGGCAGGCAGCAGGAGGAGCCTGCAGTAACGCACTTTGACCACCGGGGCCCCTGGATCCAGACGGTAGCTCAGAGACTCCGCCTCCTTTACCTTCTCCAGGTTCTGCTTCTCCCTCAGGTGTTATTTTCATTGTTATCGGGACTTTTGGCTTTGGGACGGAATCTTCTTCAAAGACACGCCTCCTCAGCCAAGCTGGGCAATCCCTTCACACAACCCTGCGTTTACGCTGTCATTTAACCCACCCAGATGCTGAAGTTACGGCAGGTAGGGGGGATGTTTTGGTCACTGACCTGGCTGGGGGTCAGAGCCTGGGACGTAAGAGGAGGATGGCACCGCGCTGGGCGCTGCAGGCAGGTAGCTGGTAGAAGCGAGCGCCGGGTCGTTGTTCAGGGAAGTAAGTTTCTGCAAAAGGACCAGAGACACACACACAACCCCGTTTCAGAGTGGGTAAAACAGCACTTTCACTACGTTCAGCTGACTAGACAAAAAGCCATCAGGACGACACCGGCCCTTATCAAACCACTAAACTTAAATGCCACTTAAAACCGTGCAAGGAAAAGCCCCGTCCGGCAAAAGTTAAGGTTTAACAGCAGGGAAAACCTCAAGGGAAAAAAGGGGGGAAGGGACCTGGCACCCTCAGAGGGGAACCTGCCCAGCCAGGGACTCCAGGAAGGGGCACAGGGGTTGGGGGCTGCCTTCAAAAGGGGCCCCTCCCTTTCCAGTGCCCAGGCGTGGGAGCCCTACCTGGGTGGAGACGAGCCCAGCCGCATAATCCGGTGTGGCGTTCTCTACGACCGTCTCCTCCTTGGCCTGCTTGGCCACCACGTCCGTATCTGCGGGACGGAAAGGGCAGAGGATCATTCCCGCTGCTCCGCTCTTCTGGGGAAGCCCAAGTGGGGGGGGGGCCTCTTAGGGGGCCTTTCACAAAGGCCGGAACCCGGGGGGGGGGCCTCAGCTTACAACAGGGCGTTTAGTGACTAAAGTTACAAGGCCACTGAACGCAGCCACTTGTGGCCCTTATTCCACACACCCCTGGGGCCACGCTGTTCACCTTCAGGCGCTGGAAATCTGGCTCCTATTTACGACGGTCGCGTCTTCCGGGGCCACGTGGTCCCCTTTTGGGGCCTTCCGGCAAGCCAAGCCCACGGGGGCAGCTGAGTTCGCTCAGCAGCTGTGTGATCAGCTCAACTACCCTGATTCGCTGAACAACCGTGGCCAGAAAGGTGGCAACTTGGGGCAGAGCTCCCTTCATAGGCACCTCCCTGAGCCACAGGAGTTCTGGGCTCCATTGTGGCCGGAGGTCAAGGACTGCCTGCATGGTGTCCATGGTGGCCCTGCATGCTGGAGCATTTCAGGCTCTGCGTTCCCAGGGGGACCCTCCCTTCCTCCACCCCCCCTGAAACGGGGGGGGGCTGCTCCCCAGCCTCACAGACCCCCCCAGTCCCAGCCAACCCAGGAGAAGGGGGGCAGCTCAACGCACCCAACGTCTTCCTCCTCCTCTTCGCTTCCCGCCCGGAATCCACGGCCTTCAGCTCTTTGATGTCCAGGTACTACGGGACACAAGAAGGAAAGTGTCATTTTTCTCCCACCAGGCACTCCTTGGTCGGCCTCACGCCTCGCGGGTTATCCGAGGGAAGGTCTCTTGCCGGTCGCATCTACCCAACCCATCAGAGCAAGGAGGCAGGGAAGGCTGTGGGTCCCACCCCTGAGGGAGATACACCTGGTGGGACCAGGAAGGGCCTCTCCTCCGTGGTGGCCCCCTCTCTCCGGAGCATCATCCCCCCAGAGATTAGAATGGCCCCCACTCCAGCGCTCTTCCGGAAGGCCCTGAAGGCGGCCTGGTTGGGCCAGCGGGCCTGGGGAACCCAGAGAGGGACGGAGCCCACCCGATGGCTTGTGTGAGGGGCTGTCACTGGGGCATGTGTATGTAGGGGTGTGTGTGTAGGTGTGTGTGTAGGTGTGTGTGTGTAGGTGGGGGGGGTGATTTATGTTTTTCCAGATTTTGTTCTACTGCACTTTATTAATTTATTTGGTTCTTTCTGTTAAGTTTTGATTGTTTTTTTTTATTTTTTATTTTTAAATATGGTATAACATTGTGTAAGCCGCCTCGAGTCACCCTGGGCGAATAGGCGGCAATATAAATCAAATAAATAAAGGCTACAAAGCTCGGAAGCCTTTCGTCCTCTGCATTTTAACATCCAAGAATGTTTTTGGCCTCGTCGTCCCGAACCCAAAGGAGCAACTGCTGGGGTTTCCCTTCTCTTTGAAGAGTTTGTCTGTCTACGGAAGATCTCCTTCCTTTCCCAAAGTCTCTCCTCTCTTCCTGTGGCCAGACTGTTCCCACAGGACAAGGGCCACGCACTCTCTTTCCGGGGCTCATGTTTATCAACATCCGCTGTTAAAACGTCACGTTCTTAAGCGCATTTTGCTCCTGGATTTCAGCGCCGTCTTCTCAGGGCGCGTTGGGGAGGCGGCCCATCAAAACCGCACATTATTCTCTAACTTACAAAATGCACCCAGTCTGGGAGACCTGTTTTATAAAGTGTATCGGTTTCAAAATGACAGAGATGAGAAAACTGACTTTAGCAAGCAGGAAGGCGGAAGCCTAGAAACAAAAGGCAACCCAGGGGTGGGATTTGTGCCCTCTGTGCTAACCCAACAGGAGTCCAATTCGTGGCGAGAGGAAGGGCTTCTCTGGTCGGAAGCACTGTGGGGATGTGACCTTCAGGGCCGCTCCTTCAACTCCCTCTCCTTTCTACAAGGAAACCTGCTGGCGTGGGAGTCCCAAGGGCCATTCGGGCAGAGTGCAACGCCGCTGCCGCATGATGAGGCCCAAGGGAGCTCCAGGGAAATGCCGGCTGAGATGAGGGCAGGAAGGCCTTGAAGTGCTTGGAATGGCCGAGCGGAGCAGCTTCTAGAACCGCAACCAACAGGGACGACATTCCTAGCTGTTGGTGGGGAGAAGCAACACAGCGTCCGGCGGGGGGGGTGGCCTGTTTCGGAATACAATTTACACGCAGGAAAAGCGTCGGAGGAGGAGGAATTCACTTCCAAACACGCGCGTCTGGGTACCTTGACGCCTCTCTCCTTGCACAGAGGCACTTTGGAGGACAGGATGGGGGTCCGGTTCCCCGTGGGGCTGAAGACGATGGGCGCGGTGGGGTTCCTGAAGGGAGCTTGCTTGGGGATCCCTTTGAGTGGAGCTGCAGACAGAGAGAGAGAGAGAGAGGACAAGGCGCTAAGAAAGGGCCCCTTCCCTGCCCTCGGAGAGGAGGCCGGGCCCAGGGAAGAATGCGGACAACCCGTCCAATATGACCGCCTTCGCCTTTTAACCCCCCCACCTGCCCCCGTGAGCTCCCGTTCTCAAGACTCAACTAAACCACGACAGCGAAAGAAACACAGGTGGACTTCAGAATGGGCAGGATGGCTCTCGGGAGCCAGACCCAACCGCCCAACCCCAGGAGTCACGGGACGTCCAGCGGTGCTTGTAGGCTGCCCGGATGACCCCGGGAATAAAACACCACATCTGGATACCAAAGCCCTGGGCTTCCAGGAAGCTTCCTCCTGCCTCAGGACCACCAGAACATGTGGATACGGGCAGCTCCCCTCTCTTCCAAGGGGCTCCCGGGAACGCCAGAGGAGAGGCCACCTTGCAAGCGCCTCCTGCTGGGGGCCTCTTCCTCTTGCAGCCCCCCCACATGGGGGAATCCTTCCGGTTATCACTTCTCCTAAGGAGAAGCCGTGGCGGTCCTGGCCACCCCCACCCCCCCCCCGCTGACCGCCCCCCGGGGCCCGCCTACCCAGGCCCTCCGGGGGGGGGGGGGGGGGGCACGACTTCCAGAAGGACAGAAAGAAGGTGGCCAAGTACATCAGCCGGTGCTCGCTCACTTCAGGTCTTCCTTCTCTGGGCCGGAAGCTCCAGCAGGCGTTCTTGTTCCAGGAGGAGGACAGACCGACCGCCCCGGCTTCTGGCTGACTGACCGGCCCTCCTAGAGGGAGGGCCCCACGGGGTCTAAGCTGTGGCAACGCCGGCACCTGGCCGAGTCTTCTGCCCCCGTTTACAGTTTTTACTCTGACCAGGTTAGAAACGTCCTCCTGGGGAGTTTCTGGTATCCCATGTGAAAACGTTCACGGGAGACGCCACAAGTCGTCGTGCAAAAGGTTCCTTCTCTGGCACAGTGAGGAGGAATTGAGGCCCCCCAAAAGGGACTTTCCGAGCCCCGTTGTGGCTTGTGGAAGAGGCCGCTGGCCCTTTTGCAGAACGAGCCCTCCGGAGAAGGGCCAGAAGGGACGAGAGGCGAGGCCACCCACCCGCCTGCTGACCTCGTGGCTTCCTCCTTGGGGACCCCGGCCTGGAGACCCCCCACCCCTGGGACTGCTGGGGAACGAAGGGGGCGCTGGCCACCACGGGCGCCTCCAAGAGGCCTTGGGGGGGGCAGGAACTCCCTCCACAGCAACCAGGAGGAGAACATGCCCAGCCACAAAGCTGGACTTTTGCACAGCCCCAGGAGCGCCATGTGGCTCATGGCTCACCCGAAAGTGGGAGTCTGAGCTGGCCAACGGGAGGAGCCGCCCCCCCCCCCCCCCACTTTCTCCGGGGAGCGTCTTTCTTCTCCAACCTGGCACTTGAATCTACCGCCTGCGCTGCATCCACCCAGGATCCAACACCTGGGGGCCATTTTCTGCATTGCCAATTGATCTGAAGGCTGGAAGTGGCTGCCCGTAGAAAAGGGGGAGAAAAGGAAAGCCTACTTGTTGTGTCAATCTTCTTCACCAACCCTCTTCCTTTGGCGTGAAAAGCTACTCCGGCCGTCTTCTTCAGCTGTTGCGCAGTTTCAGCAGCTAAAGGAATTGCAAACATCTATTTAGCATCCAGCTTTAAAAGGGCAGGAAAAATCACACATTAACTTTAAAGAAAGCTTTTAATGCAGCATTAAACTCGACTATCCAAAAGGAAGATAATCTTCGGCACTAACTTTTTTTCACGTTTAGGGTTTCCTTTTGCAGTTAACGGAACAGAACACAACAGAACACAACTTTCTAGGATAGCCAGATGCAAATGAGGGAGAATTTCTTTACTTAAGAAGTTTTGTAAAAGAAACAGAAAATCTGTACAGGTTTCATTTGTCAGTCAGACATGAAAAAGCCTATTTCTTGCTCAAATCTCCTCTCTGCTGCATTGGGGTCCCACCCTCCATTGTAAGTCGCTTCTTTGAGTTCCGTTGTAACTTGGGACGGTCCCTGAACAAGCTGCTAAGTCGGGGCTCTTCAAACTTGGCAGCTGTAAGGCTTGTGGACTCCAATTCCCAGAATTCCTCCTCCTCCTCCAGGCCTATTAGCTCAGGGATTCTGGGGGTTGAAGTCCACTGGCCAAGACGGGAGGCCCCTGTGTTAAGTCGAGGGCTGGCGCGCTCCCTGCCTGCTTCTCCCCTACTCCTCGGCGTAGGGCCACCGGGGCTCAGCTACTTACACTTCTGCAGGAGCTCCGCTCGCAGAGTGGCACTTTTGGGCTTCCGCTTCAGCTGGAAGTGTTTGACGGGAGGCGTGAAGGGCCCGGCCAAGGTGGTCAGGGCGTTTTTGTTCAAGTACTGGCATTCCAAAGGCAACATGGCGGAGGATTCACAGTCGCTCACTGGGTCAAAATACAGGAGTTCAGCGTCAAACGAGAGCAGCCGGCGGGGGGACGATGGGAGGGTCCCTCCGGAACGCAAACGCTGAGACCAGGGGGCCTCCTCCCTCTTGGCTCCCTAGTGCAGGAGCTGCGGAGGAAGACCCTCGCCCCTCAAAAACAGGTTGGGGAGGGGAGGGGGTTGATGCCCGGTGGGAGAGGCCCGAAGGACCGGAGGGAAGGTTACGGCTGCGGGAGAGGTTGCCCTCAAAGGTGGGCAGGAGGCCTTGGACAGGGATGGTTCAGAGGGCGCAAGGGATGGTTGGGTGCCTAGGGCTGGCGTGGGCACCGTGGACGTGGGGGCTGGGCTCTAGGGCTGCCACAGAAATGCCCGGCCTGGCCTGGTGAGTCCCAATGGAAGGGAGAAATGGCAAGGGCAGGATTGGGGGGGGGGGGGGGGGGGCCCAGATTTGGCCCCCAGAAACGGGAGGCCGGGCCCCCCCCGGGGAGGGGGGGGGGCGGGGAAGGCTTGGGGGGGGGGGGGCCCTGGACCCTCATTAGGTCCCCCTTTCCCTCCAGAGAACCCCGGGGCCCCCCAAACCAAGCCAATCCGAGGCTTTCTTCCTTTTCACTTATTTGGAGCCTTCCGGTGTTCTTGGGCGCCTTTTCCTGCGTTTGAATCCTACGTTTCTACCCTCTTGGTTGTACCGAGTGTTTTTCCCTGACTGAGTTACGTGGGAGGAAGCAACTGGGAAGGTCCCCAAAGAGATGGTGACCAAAAGAAAACCCAACAAATCAACAGTAGACGGGACCAAGCAGGGGCCACGTCAGCGGCAAAGAGTCCGCTCCTCTCTGGGCTTGTTCTGGCCTCCTGGCCGGCGTCTCTGTCCAGATGGGCCAGGCCAGACACCCACAAGCCCAGCAGAGGATTCTTGGGGGGGGGGGGGGGTCGGCGGGGAAAAGGTCCGTTCTCGGGAGGGGGGGGGGGGGGGCATTAGGGGTAGGAGTTCCACCACTTTGGGCCTTTGGGGGTGCCAAGAGGGGGAGGTGAAGCGACACTGAGCCGAGAGTAACTCAGGAGGAGCGCCTGATACGAAGATCATCTTTCTGCAAAGGTGAATACAGACTTATTATTTATATGCATTTATAAACTCTAGGTAAGAATAGGATTACTACACCAGGTGCGTGCATTTGGACACCCTTCCAGGCAGTATTCCACATCACCTTCAACTTAGTCTTGACACCTGGTAGCTGCCCGGACGAATCCCCCAAATGTTCTTGGCCAAGTGTTGGCCATGGCCTCCTTCCTAGGGCCGAGGTAAAGGGACTGGCCCAACGTGGAAGGCAGGACTCAAGGCACCCAAGCCCGTTGTCTCAACCACTACACCGAGTTGGCTGCGTATTCAAGTCAGCCCAGCTGCATAGGATACACAAATACTGAGCGTGGCGTGTGTGCAATGTCATTACGAGGCCGTGCAGTGCTACCCTCCTCCCGATGCAACCGGTCACACCATTCCTGCCCCCTGCTTGCCAACCGTGGGAGAGAAGCCTCCCCCTCCCTCTGGAGAGGCCTGCCAAGGGCTGCTGGGTCCCTTGGCAGAGATACTGGCAAACCTTTACCGCAGGCGGCAGGTGGCACCTGGCCACAAGAGACGGGCTCCCCTTTTAGTCCCCGGATCCTAAAGAGGATCGCCGAGAAGGGGGGGTCGCTTTCCCTTCCACTCCGAGCCGTTCTTGTGCCAGTTCTGCACAGCCCACGCCTGGCACCTGCCCTGGGTGCCCTGCCAGCCTCCTGCTGACTCCCCTCCTCGTCCCAAACAGGCTCCCTGGCACCCCATCACCCACCCGTTGCTCCAGAGGCCTCTGGAGAAGACGGAGAAACTGCGGGGACCTGTTTGCCTCTGCCCGAGACCCTCTCTAGCAATGCACCGAAGGTCTGACGGGGAGGGCAGCCTTGGCACGAAGCCCCCGCCCCCAGATGCTTCCTTGATCGCAGCGCTGCAGGGAGGCAGCTTCCTCCAGAGGGCACTATTCAGGCAGCGGGGGGGGGGGGGAATCGGCCAGAGACCAGAGGCTGCCTGCTTCTGCCGTTTTGCACACCCCGCAGGGGGCTCCGCAGAACAAGCCCGGCCTGTCCCGAAGCCGCTTGCCAAGGATCAACAGCGTGTTTGAACTTTGGCTCATAAGGTGAGACAGGCATCCCCTCCCAGAGGAGCTCCCTGCGTGGAACCTAAGAGCGCTCGGGCACCGTTACCTTTCTCTCGCAGTTCTCCTAGGATGTCCTGGACATTGGGGTTCTGCTCTTCCAGATCAAGATTAAGGGAGCCAATATCTGGAAAGGATTTTAAAATGTCAGCCACCATCAAGACCCAGGGGTCTGGATCCAAAGTAGCCAGCTGGATAATTTTCGTCAGGGCGCCTTTCATCTAGGAAGAAGGAAAGAAAAGAAAAGAAAAGAATGAAGGAATGAATGAATGAACTAAAGGGGTGGAACGTTCAAAGTCATCTGGGACTTTGTTTCTGAAGCTCTACAGAGCAGACTCAGCCCCTCCGGGAACTATGAACAGGCCGTGCAGAGACCCAGGAGCAGAGCTGGGCACATGTCATGCCAGCGCCAGCTCCTCTCTGCAATGAACACTGCGGGGGGGGGGAGGGAATGCTCTGCAGAAGCACCAGCACCCCCAATAAAGCTGCCATCTGACAGAATCGACAACATTTTCAACGTGCGACTGAAATACTGAAACAGCAGCTGTATAACGGAGCTACCATCTCTTTTCAAAGTAAGGAACATACGAGGCTGCATAAAATCCATGCCACTATTTTGAGTCCTCGTTGTCCGGCTGCAGGACTCCAGAATCCTGACCAGACAGGCCTTTCCTCCCTGGAGCCTCCTTTTTGAGAACCCAAGCCCTGAATCGGGGAGATTTATCAGTAAAGTATGCCCTGGATCTCTCTACCGCCAAAGGTGATGCGAAGGCTGTGAGAAGCCTGCAAGAGCCTATATTTAATGCCTAGAGAACCACATGAGGATTGGCAGCTGGTAGAAACGGCCACCTGCCAGTTTCCCTGTCAACAGAAAAGTATCAGATTCGATAGGAAACAGGCAAAAACCACGAGGTTGCAGTCCATCATTAGCTTCATCGTAACAATTCACGAAAATGAAATTTAGCTTTTTACACGGGCATAATTTTGGCCTGTAACCAAGAAAATTCTTCTCAGAGAGAAGCATCATCAACTGGGCTTGATCCAACTCTTAACTCAGACAATTTCAAGGAGAGGGAAATTAATCCAAAGTCTTAGGAGAGGCCGGTTCCTGCGTAAAGGCTTCTTATGGGATCATAAGGATTAGCTTCAGCTACCTGCCAAATGTCATTTTTAGGCTCTTATTTTGTTCCGGTGTTGGTTTCCCCCCAGTTCATATGGATAAATGCACGTGACTCTATCCTTTCAGACAAGTGTTAATTCTTTAACTGTCTTCCCCTTCTTCTTTGACCTCTTGGAAGTTATTGTTTATCTCCCAGTAGAGATTTTGGAGAAAGCTGCAGGGTGGTGGACCATGGTGATCAAAAACTACCTTTTTTTGAACTGAGGAAGAAGCAACTGTCCAGGGCCAAATTAAACAGCTGCTTTTTCCCAAAACAACCGGAGGTGAAACAGTTTGGCTACAAATGCACAAGACAACAACGTCGCCACCACACAAAGAAGGAAAACCCAAACAAGGTCCAGTTGAGACTAGAAAGTTCGCGAATGCTAAAATATTTTACATATTCGGCAATCCCACAATACAGTATTTCAACTTCTGCTCTTACAGCAGTCCACTGCCTTTCACAATGAATAATTTGAAAATCAAGGTGTTCTTATTTACTGTACAGCATCAGGAAAGTTTATATAATTGTACTGTAATGGATAGTTATTTTCCAACTTGCAGTTAAGATTATTCCATTATTTCCCTCCCATTTCCCAAAATCTGAAGAAGAAAAAAATGGTGCTCCTGAATTTTAAATGTCTAATGGAGATCCTCCATCATCCAGGTCCCAGTTGCCCCAAAGGTGCTTTTTCCAAAAGGCAATTGGGCTTTCTTGTTATTTTCCCCCCTTGGAAAGCATTTCGCTTCTCATCCAAGGAGCTTCTTCAGTTCTATTCGGTTCTTCAATTCTCTCCACTGAGAACTGAAGAAGCTCCTTGGATGAGAAGCGAAATGCTTTCCAAGGGGGGAAAATACCAAGAAAGTCCAGCTGCCTTTTGGAAAAAGTACCTTTGAGAGTCCTGAATTTTTAGTTACTATATTAAGAAACCACTCATACAATTTGAACATGTGGTGAATATGCAGCTTCTCCCAATCTGGTTTCAAGGTTCTAAAATTCAAAATATTGGCTGCCAAGCAAATAAGATTAGCCTGCCATTTCATTTCTCCGAGACAACAGGGAGTCCCATACGGGCCTGGGACCCTGGGAAGCTTTCAACAGAAGGCATAAAAAAAGCCAAGTCACACACACACACATAACACAAAGCGCCCAGCAGCGGAGCCTCCTCAAATGACCGTCCACAGAGGCAGGGAGGGAGCTGCATCCCGCTCCCCTGGCCTGGCAGAATCCCAAGTTTTTAGGGCTTGGTAACAGGCCGGCCGGCAGGCAGACCCGGAGCTGACCTAATCACAGAGGGAATGAGGCTGTTTGAAGGCCCGGCAGGCAAGATTTCCGACTGAAGCAGGCTGGCTGGAAACCCTGGGCTTTCTATTCCAAGATATACGGAAGGCACCACCCACCTCTGGGAGTGGACTCTAGCGAGACGACCTCCTGAAAAGAGTCCAGTTTATATTCTGATAAAATGGGAATGACATATATATATATATATTAAATGCTAGAATACACTTCACTACCCAACTGGGTAACATCATCAGGGACATGGAGTGTGGGCTTTGCTCCTTGTAGCCTTGCCCTGCCAGCAGTGGAGGGAGTGTGGTGGTTTTTCTCCTTGTTAGTTCCTTGATTAGGACATTGTTTTCTGCTTGGTTGCTTGTCTGGTGTCAATCCCTGCTTATCTAGCTGCTGCCTGCTGGAGATGATGTGTTCTGCTCTTTATGTTCCTTGCTTTGTTTTTAATTGGCTATTTTGAATAGCATATACACCTGGTTTATCTCTATGTGCCTGTTGATGGTGATTTGCTTGAGTGCCAGGCTTCCAGAAATTCTCTGGCGTCTTTGGACCATCTCCCACCCTCTGAAACTATGGTGAAATCTGTCCACATCTTGTGCAATTAAGACGTTTTTATCCTATCTTCTGACTGCATGGATGCACTCGGCTAATCTTCTGCCTGCCTGTCCTGCCTAGTGCTATTTGGGTCTTTGCACTTGTGTTGTAGGCGACTCTTGGGTTTCTCCTTGGGCCAGAGAGTCTTTTATGTAAGAGGTTTCGGAGAGCTTTAGTAGTGGGTTCGTGGGTGTGGTTCTAATAGGGGCCTGTTGGATGTTTCGGGGGGGGGGATTGTGTATGTAGCGCTATCCTTTTCACAACCTGTTGCAACAGGTTATGTTGCAGTGGGCTAAATGGCACTTTTTAATAAAGTTGCATATCCATTTTTTTGGAAGCGGTTGTGTAGGCGCCTTTTCCCTTTTTTCTGGTGTTCTGGGTTGCTGCAATGCCTCTGAGCTTGTCTGAATAATGTTCTTACCCAGCACCTGTTGGGGGAAGCCGGGGTGTTACTTTGGCAATGGAGCACTTGGTGACTGGGAGTTTTTAAACATTTCTACTTTGCTGTTGCTTCTTCTGGTGATGAAGATATCCAGGAAAGGTACCGTGTCGTTCTTTCCTTTCCTTGTGAACGTTACTCTTTGAAGGTGTTGTTGTTTCATGTGTCACCTCTACTTGTTCCTTTAATTATGAAGGCGCCACCTACATAACGGATCCACACTGTTGGTTGCATCTGTGGGAGTGGCATAGTTTCCAGACCAGCATGTCTCAACCTTGGCAACTTTTAAGAGGCCCAAACTTCCAACTCCTAGAATTCTTGCCAAGCTCCTCTAAGTATTTGCTACTCTTCTGGGGACACCTTCATCCTTCTTGGGGTCCTCCTACACTCCTGGACAACAGCCCATGACCCGCCTTCCCTGGAGAGCTCTCTTCACCTTCATTAATGATCTGTACTCTTCTGTACTCTTGAAAACTGGCTCGCGGTCTTTCCCCTGATCCTTCGTCCTACGGATACAAGATTTCAAGCATAAAGTATAATTGTTGCAGGATGCAAGAATTACAGGAAGGTTTGGATTACCTAATTGGGAATTGATGTGAATGAAAGAATGGATTGTGTTAAGGAATACAAGGTTAACACTGGAGGGATAATTGGAATGGCATGTTTTTTTTATGGTATGGGAAAAATAAAATCCATGGCCACTTTGAAAGACATTATGTAAGAAACACCTTATTGTTAATATGGGGGGAAAAAATAAGAAAACAACATTATTTGAAGATTCCAGTCTGGCTTTTGACAATGGAAGTGTTTATATATCCAAATGTTCTCAAAAAGGGGAATATTGTTGGATATAAAGATGTTTTAAATGAAAAGGGTGAACTCAAAACAAGAACTCAATGAACAAGGGATTGATATGAATTGGTATTTATGCAAATACATTCTAGGTATGAAAAAGATGCAAAAGAGGAGGGGTTTTATGATAAGTTGACAGAATTGGATAAAATTCTCACAGGAAGAGGAACTATAAATTAACAATGTCAACAGCATACAAAGAGAACCTATACAAGATGTTTTATAGATGGCATCTTGCGCCAGCAAGGTTGGCAAAGATGCTTAAAGGTAAATCAGCTAAATGCTGGAAATGCCATCAGACACCAGGATCATATTATCATATGTGGTGGACATGTACAGAAGCGAAAAGATACTGGACAAAAATACACTTACGGTTGGAAAAAATGATAAAACAACATATAGACTTAAAATTCAAGATATTTCTATTGGGAATTCTACCTGATAACTATAGTTAAGAAAAAACGTATTTGATTATTCATATCTTAACAGCAGCTAGAACTGTTTTTGCTCAAAACTGGAAGAATAATAAGATTCCTACAGAAGAAGAGGTGATTATGAAAATATTTGAATGTGCAGAAATGAATAGATTAATACTGGAAATTAAAGAACAAGAAGATACAGATTATATGATATGGGATGTATTTTATAAATGGTTGGAAAACAAAGAAATTGAATGAATATAAGATAAGAGGTAATGAGAATACTATGAAAGAGAAAAAAGGATGAAACTTTTAATATGAATGCAACTTTAATGATATATTTAACATGAATAGTATATTAAATATGAATATGTGCACAAGATATATGTATCCAGTTAACATACCATTGAATTGAAAGATGGTCATTTTGTAAAAGAAATTTAAAAAAATAATAAAAAGATTTGAAGCGTAAAGTATGCAAAAAGCATAACTTCAAGGGGGAATATATACGGTACCCAATACTGTACATGTCTACCTTGGGGTTCCTACTCCTAGCAGGGTGCGAGGATACTCTGGTCCTCCTGCTGCTAA